CCCTCCCAAGGGCGCCCTCCCGCCCGCGCTTCACCAGACGCGGCGTGGCCCTTCTCCGGGGACGACTCTCGCTCAGTCCACAGCCTGTCCTGGCTATTTAGTCACCGGGCCGACCCACCCCCGATCCGGACTCCTTTCATTCTCTCGAATTCACTGTGCTAGCGACGCTCTGGGCTTGGAGAGCTGTCCCGGGCCGCGGTGCGCCCCAACTCCCCGAAGTCCCATCGCTGTCGCACCGCCGGTTAGGGAGCCCGCGTTGGCAGAAGGACGCCCCAAGATTGCTGCGGATGAGGGGCGCGCCCGGGCCCTGGACGGAGGGGAGCTCAGGTCCTGGGAGAGCCGCTGGGAGTTGGGAGGTTCCGCTCCAGGCCAGGACTTCAGGGCGCGTTTGCCTCCATCAGGCACAAGGCCTGGAATCTTCCTAAGACGGACTGCCTCAGGGCCAACTCTGGGCTCTGCAAACACATTGTCAGAATTTTAACTGCAGGACGGGAGTCACGCCATCAGAATAAAACGATTGTGGAGCTACATTGTTGATTCCTAAAACCCTGGATCTTCAACATGACGGTGGATTGAGGCTGTTCTCTGTGTAAATTTGCGCCACAGAAATGGATGGCTTGCTCGTTTGTTGATCTGTCCACAACAGAAACAAACAAAAAACCACCTTTAAGATGGGAACTTGGAAGGTAAAGAAGTTGATTTCTCTAAAGATCTGGTTTCCTCTCTCAAAGGGATTTTATTATCTACAAACTGGTTAAAGTGGAAGTTTGTATTTTGTTTCTATATTATTTATGTAATATTATTTATCTATGCTTGATTAGCATTTGCGTGGTACGAAATTTAAAACGTGTGAGTGGGTACACAGTCCCCACCCTTGTCTCCCAGCCTCTCAATTCCTCTCCCTGGAGGCAACCATTACTATATTATGTTCTGTGTAGTCTCCTAGAGAAAGGAGGAAATGTATTTGTCTAATGTCCTTATTTTTACCTTTTGTTATACAAAATGCTAGGTCTAACTTCAGGCACATGTGGATCAGGGGTTCAAGTGAGGTCCCAAGTATCTCAAATCTCCGCCTCCCTACTCCCACCTGCTTTCTCCCTTCTCTTCTCGCTCCCTCGTCCTCCTCTCTTCTCTGCTGTCCTCTACTCTAGGGACGTCATTGTTAAGCTGATTTACACATGATGACACCGGGTCCAGGTTTATCTTCCCTTCAGGGGTCAGGATCCAAGACTGAGGCGAGTTTTCTCTTTCCCAGAGTGCATATTAAATGGCCCAGAAAAACTCATTTGCCTTGCTTCAGTCGTGCTCTACCCCTTGAGCTGTCTAGGACTTGGGTCTTCTGATTGTTTGTGGGTGAACAAGGACCATGAGGTGAACTCAGCAGTGGGAATATATCTACACAAATGTCTGCAGGTAGTTCATGAATGCTTTCCTGCAGGTGCCTCCTGCTGGTCAACAGTAAGCCACAGGTAAACACTCGTATTCATTGCAGACATTGTGAAGACCTGTGCTTCTGCAGCTCGATTCCAGGCCATCAGGGTACAGGTTTGAATGTAGAATGTGAAAGGATCACTCCACGTGTGGCCCAGCAGTGTCTGCATCATGACAAGAATGAGGGCTGGGTTCAAAGGTTATTTGACATCATGCAGGAGTTTGTAAAACGGACCTAATATATAAATTCGCCTCTTTACAAGGTCCTAAAGTTTTGCCTAAGTTATAAACATTTTAAAAGAAAGACAAATACAGAATAGTTCAGAGATGTGGGCAAGGTCATAAATAATACAGAAAGAAAGTATAGATGGAAACCCAGACATATTATGAATGGGAAAGAACCCCAGTTCCCTATTTGTAGTCCTTTAGGCCAGAAACAAATACAACTTCAATTCTTCACCAGAGCTATTAGTGATGCTTTAAAAATCATTCCCCATGAAAGATTGGGCATTGGAAGATGACTTGGGTCACAGTGAGCCAGCAAGTAAAGGACCTAAAATGCTATTTCCTTGATTACTCCATCCTGAGCTGTCACCCAGCAAAATTTTACTGAATTCCAGCAATATCCATCCCTTCTTTTTAAAAAAATATATTTTATTGATTTTTTTACAGAGAGGAAGGGAGAGGAATAGAGAGTTAGAAACATTGATGAGAGAGAAACATCGATCAGCTGCCTCCTGCACACCCCTTATTGGGGATGTGCCCGCAACCAAGGTACATGCCCTTGACCGGAATCGAACCTGGGACCCTTCAGTCCGCAGGCTGACACTCCATCCACTGAGCCAAACCGGTCAGGGCCATCCCTTCTTTTGTCCCTTGTGATTCACAGGCAGAGCTCATTTTCTATTTGTTGCATGGTCTTGACCACTATAAGAGTTTTAATGGATTCTTCCTTTATCAAGAAGAGCTCATTGGCTTTTGTACACCAAAGAAATGTGTGGTGTATTCTTTTAAAATGTGAATCAGGCAGTCCATTTCTTATCCAGAAGATTGATGAGTTTATACTGGCAGGAAAAGGACATGTCTCAGGAGGACTCTGGGTAGAATTAAAAGAACATTAATCACAAGACCGGAGGGCTGGTGTGACCTTACTACTTCCTATGTGTATGACCTTGGGCAAGTTCCTTAACTTCATTGAATCCTAGATACCCTAAATGAAATATATGGTGCAGTCCTCTCTACTAACCTGCAAGATTGTTATTAATTAATACAATGTCTGTGGCATTGCTTTGCACAGAATAAGATTTAATGTTAGCTATCTAAAAATTATCATTTTAACCTGGAAAAAAAATGTGTTTACAAAGAAAGTTTCTATACCATTTTGTGGCATTCTCTGGCATAGAAGTGGTGAAACCACCTACTGCTTCCCTATCATCCAAAATCGATTTTCTTTTTATAAAATGTATCTCTACCTCTTCCATGGCACTTAGCACTTGTTATGTAATATTAGTTACTTGGCTCTATCTCCAGTATCCCCAACTAGATTGGAAGTGCCTTGATGTTGGCATCATCTCAGTAGACATTTTAAAAGGAAGACAAATAAATACAGAATAGTTCAGTGATTTGGGCAAGGTCACAGCTTTGATTCCTGTGGGTGCCTAGAACATTATCTTTATAAATTGTAGACAAACAATAATTATTTGTTGAATGAAAAAGTAAGTAGATGAAAGGAAAAATTTATAAATGGGACCTCATCAAAATTTTTAAAGATTATTCTATAAAAAAACCTATTAGGAGGGTGAAAAACCAAGCGATATACTGGGGGAAATATTATCAAATAACCTATCTGACAAAGGATTCGTATTTAGAAAAAAAGAACTCTCAACACTCAACAGTAAAAACCAAACAATCCTACCAGAAAATGGGCCAAAGGCATGAAGAGATATTTCACTGAAAAGCATATACAACTGGCAAATGAACACATGGAAAGACACTCAACATCATTAGCCATTAGGGAAATGTAAATTAGAAGTATAATGAGATGTCACTCTACACTTATCAAAATGGATAAGGTAAAAAATGGTGACAACACCAAATGCTGGTGAGGAGACGGAAACGATGTCACTTACTCATTACTGGCGGGAATGAAAATGGTGAAATCACTCTGGAAAATAATTTGGCTCTTTCTTCTAAAACTAAAAGCAGACCTGTTTATCCAACCCAGCAATAGCACCCTGGGCATTTATTCTAGAGAAATGAAAACTTATATTCACATAAAAGCTTGTACAAATAAAGCCACACACGGCCAGTCCACAGCAACCCCACCATGAGACAGCAGGAGGTAGAGGACCACAGGGCACATCCACTCTGCTTGCCGTATAAGGATACAGGGTGGACCTCATTGGACCAAGAACATTCTCATCCTTCTGGACGACTCAAGGTGAGTGGGAGGCTTAAAAATGGAAATGCTGGATTTTTCTGCACTTGGGCAGTGATTAATTTAAAAAGCAAAACAAAGCAACCAAAACCAAGATCTCTGCCCTCATGCAGACTTCATTCTAGTGTGACCATTATGTGTGTCTTGAGTTGGCGAAACAGACCATTCTGGCCCAAATAGAATTAGAAATGCAGAGAAAATAACTTATTGTTTCCGGTAAATACAGTATTTTTCTCCAAGATATCCTTTAGGAGAATTACTATTTTATCATACAGCTCTAGGTTCCCTGTTCAATATTGGTTTTTAAAAAGCTTTGCTGCTTTCTTTAGTGAAGTCGATTCTACCTTGGAAGGACAATGTAGAAGCAATAATAGAATCCTGTCATTCACCGATGAGGGTATCCAATAAAGGATCCTGATGCTCATGAGACACTGATAATAACAATATCATTTTACAGAAGTATATGTGATTACTGACTTACAGAGTGTTGATTTGTGACTCTTACCATTTTTTCCAAAAAAAAATTTTTTTTTTCTGAGAATCATGTCCCTACAGTAAAGCCCAGATTTGGTTAAAAACCTCTATAGCCAAATCAGATACGGTGCTTCTCTAAATCCGGAACCAGTTGAGATGTGTGGCAGCTGACTCAGCCTGCAGCTGTACTGAGGATTAATAAAATTAGCAGTAATACTCAGAAACTTAGCCAGAGGCCTGTGTGTGCGTGTGCATCTCCTTCATAACAATCCTCAAACCCCGAGGGAAGGTTTAATTGCATTGGTCTCATTCACTGAGGCTTAGCAAGAAGGTTGCTATTGAAATCAGGCATCATCAAAGACAAGGAGACACATGAACCTGCCCTTTTCCCTGGGCGCCTGATCCTCCCTGCCCTGCTCTGCGTTTTCTTTCTTCCATAGCACTCGTCACCCTTTAACACACGATTCACTTTCTTATTCTGCTTAGTGCTTATTGCTTATCTTCCCCCACTAGCATGACATCTGCGTGAGGGCAGAGATCTTTGTTTTGTTCACTGGTATCTCCAAGTGCCTTGGACAGAGCCTAGCACAAAGGAAGTGCTGGACAAATATCGAATGGAGGAAGATGCCAGAGAAAATGCTCATCCACCAACATCTACAATTCACAGATGTTCAGAAGCTTTCACACATGCTGAATATTCACATGGATATTTGTTCCATCAGGTGACCTGAATTTTCCTAAATTTTAACGTTCCTTTGAGAGCTGAAGATTCTCTATGCTGGTTGCAATGATATTGACAGTTCACTGAGGATATTTCTCCTCCCAGCAATCCGTGACCACCACTACCTTTAAGACAGAGCCAAGAGGCTCATGGCTCCAGAAGACAGAAAAGTGGACCCCACTGGAAGATAGAAATCTAAAGCTGGGGAAGAAAGGGAATATAATGTGGAGGAAGCTTCTGCTCTGTAGGAAGAAAAAAAGACGCACTGTGTCTCCCAGGAGAGCAAGAGAATCATTTGGAATAAATGCGAGTAGCTGATAAAAGACTATGTTAGTGCTCCCAAAGATCCAGGACTGAATCATTCTTGGTCCCTTGGGGAGAATGGTAAGAAGATGGAAACAATATGCCATTTGTGGTAGACCCTGAATACAGAGGGAGCTAGAGAGTTGAAACCCTGAGAGGCCCCGAAGTTAGTTCACTAAAAGCCACACCCAAAACATTTCCAATAAAATTGGATGAGACTGTAATTCAATCATGCACACAGAGAAAAGATGAAATGATAGAAGATTATGGCCACACAGTCCACTCCCTCAAGGACACATCACTTATCCCCCTATCATCTGGTAACTGGAAGACCTGTGCATAGGGGTCTCACCTCTGATATTCTGCCCTGCTACATGCAGAGATGGCAAAATATTGCAAGGGACTCATGTACTCAATCCTATCATCAACAGGTTAAGGCTGCCTTCCCACATCTTAAACAGCCTCAGCCTCCTGATCTTAAACCAGATTTCATCTACTGGACAAGACAGCTACTCTTGAACGTCATTGGAAAGGAGCTTATCAGGTACTGTTAACAACAAACACGGTAGTGAAAACTCCAGGGAGTTAATCCTTGGGTTCATGTTTCACAACTAAAGAAGTAATTCAGAATTCCACACAGTTGTCAGGCTGTTCCAATATGAGACCTCAAATATAGGCTTCTCAGAGATCAGCTAGTAGCAGCTACTCTTCGCAAGTAGATAGCTGCACCAAGATCTTTGGAAAACACAGATAATTTAGGATAGTGGACAGCCGCTACCCAAGCACAGGACCAAGATCCCGACTAATTCCTGCTTTGTTATTCATCTACTTGCTTATCACCATTCCTGCCCCCAGAACTCTGGTTATTGTCCACCCATAATGGCCCTTTTTCTCTTTTCCTTCCTTTTTATTCTAATTGTTAGATCAGAACATACTCATTCTAACACTATCCTTAGATTATCCCTAACATCCATCAGATCATCATGATAAAAACTTGTGGACAATTCCAGTCTTATCAAACAAGATCATAGGGAATTGCAGCTGATGGCATTTGTATCTACATAGACAAATGACCTTAAATAAACAAACATATGAATTTGGTACTAGTGCCCTTCTCTCCCAGAAAAAGAACCAATTACAACTGGTTCTACCTTTGAATTCAACAACCTTCGTGGAGCGATAGGCCAATTACTTGCCACCTGGAAGAGACTAATAACCATCCAAATACGTAACTAGGCTAATGTAAAGTAAGGCCTTTCTTCTGACCTCTCACTGTCAATAATTCCTTCTCTTCTGAGTCTCCATGTGCCCCCTACTGGATATTATTTCTTTTGCATCTAGGATGACTAGTCTCGTTTGCCTCAGACTAATACCTCCTGCATTTTACTGTGTGTGTGTTGGGGGGGGGGGGGGGGGGGAGAAAGCAGGTAGGGAGGTATGTCCTGTGCATTGTGGGATATTTAGCAGCACCCTGGCCTCTACCCTTGTGACAAAATTACTCTCCAGAAATTGCCAACTATCCCCTGGGCACCAAATTATGCCTGAGAACATCTGCCTGAAGGACAATCACTATTATGACTTCTAATTGCATAGATTAATTTAGCCTGTTTTGTTCTTTATATAAATGAACTTATATACTGTACTCACAATCCGGTTTTATTCTCCAAACATTATATTTATGAGATTCACTCATATTTTGTGTGTAATTGTAGCCTGTTCATTATTGTTGCTGTATCATACTCTACTGCATAAATATACCACAATTTATTTATCCATTTAACTATTGAAGGGTATCTTGGAAACTGCCAGTTTTTTACTAATACATATAGTCTAACTCTCTTTTTTTTTTTTTTTTTTTTTTTTTTTTTTTCTGTCATACCTTATATCCCAAATTACATCTTACTTCTTTAAAAACAATTTTTAAGTTAAGGCATCTAAATTTTGGAAATTTTGTTAATCTGGAACAAATCTCACATTAGGCATTATAAGTAAAATATTTTATGATAGCTTCATAAGAACCCACAATGGAGCCACTGATTTTGAGGATGAAGTTGGGAGAGGGGAGAGAAGTTCAAGTTCAGTGCAACCAATATTTATTGGATACCTGTGACTGCGAGGCACTGTGGGCAGCTCTGGAAATGTGAATATGAATAAGACAAGTTCTGTCTTTGAGAAGTTTGCTGGTTCATTTCTCCTATTGCTGACTGATTTATTTTTCTCCTGGGGTTGGTATGATCTAATGGTACCTCCTGCTTGGAAGGTTGCCACTGAGGAGAAGATATGGGCAGTCCAGGAGGAGGGGGCGTGGATGGGTGGTGGAGCTGTACCTTCTTTAGGTGTTTGTCCAGAACGATAAAAGTAGAGGTCCTAGAACTACAGCCCCCCTCACCAGGGTTAGGAAACAGGGAAGGGTTTAGAGCAGAACCTTAGCTGAGAACAGGCAGGGTGCAAGCTGCAGGGGGAGAATGTGCCCTGTTCCCCAGAGACCTTAGTGGCAGGGGTGACTGGATGGGGCATGGGACACAGAGCCCAGGACATTCAGCTACCAGAGAGGACAGCAATGCTTAGTGATGCTCCATGAATCACTTCATAACTAAGTCTGAAAAGTTCATTCACATTCATACCACACATCCTGCTAGAGACAAAGGGAATGTGAGCGTAGGGAAAGAATGACTCCGCAGGGCTTCTGTTTTTTAAAAAGATAGACTAATTTAGTCTTTAACAGGCATCAACCAAGTTGAGCAGCTGCCCTTTTACAAGAGTTTCATCAGCAGTATTTTATAAAGCATCTTTGTCTCTTATCTTTGCTACTCAAATGTGTCATTAACTATCGACAACTGGAGTACAATGAAAACAAAGGCCAATGTAACTGATATCACCCTTCCTACTTATTCATCATTATCAAGCTTCTCAGACTTTCACTCTCCTCAGTTTATGTGTTCATTATTACTACATAGTCTTTAACTCAGTACTAGTTAATTAAATTAACCAATTGTGTTGTGAGTTTATTTTGGATTAATTTTCTATTATGGTCACATTATAGTTATCAAATGATAGATACAAAAAAATTTCAATCCAATTAGGAAGATTTCCAAATTTTATTTTAATTACTAGAGGCCCAGTGCACAGATTCGTGCACATGGAAAGGAAATTAATTAGAAGTTGGCCAGTGGGGCGGGACTGGGTGAGACGGGCTGGACACATCTTGGAGCCAACCTCCCGTGGCCCCTCCCTGGCTGGCAGCACTTAGGGCAGCGCCAGGGCTCAAAGGGCATCTGCAGAGTGAGGGGGGTCCCTCTGGCAGGTGGGGGTCCCTCGGCCTGGCCTGCAGGGATTGGGCCAAAACCGGCAGTCCAACATCCCCCGAAGGGTCCTGGAGTGCAAGAAGGCACTCTGCAAAGTTGCTGTCACTCAGCAGCTCCTGTGTTGAGCATCTGCCCCCTGGTGGTCAGTGCGTGTCATACCTACCAGCGGGTTGGTCAGTCGGCCGGTCACTTAGCCTTTTATATACATAGATTACCACGTATATGTTTTTCGCTAATTGACTAATTGGTGGTAAGGGATTAGGGGAGCAGATTGGGAGAATAGCAGGATCCTGCCTGCACTTGAACAGGTCCATTAAGACACGAGTGTGGTGAAGGCCTGAGATGGGGCAGAAGCTGGGTGGAACCATTGCAATAAACCCAGACATTATTTCCAATAAAATTTTAAGTCAAATTTTTAAAATGATATTTCAACTACTTTACACACCTTGCCGAGTTCAATTAAAAAAAGCAACAAGCAAACCAACCAAACCAAACCTCACACAAGCTTTTTTTTATCAGTGTAAATTGTGTATTTATTAACTTATTTATTGATTGTTGACAGTATTATAGATATCCCCCATCTAGTTCCCTCCCTTTCCCCCACTCCATCCAGACCCCACCCCATTCCAGGCCTTCACCGTTATTTACAATAGCTAAGATCTGAAAACAGCCACAAGCTTTTTTTAGTTTATTTTTTATTGTTGACATTATTATAGATGTCCCCTGTTGCCCTCCCTTTCCCCCCTCCACCCAGCTTCTGCCCCACCTCAGGCCTTCACCACACTCTGGTCTTAATGGACCTGATAAAGTGCAGGCTGGATCCTGCCATCCCCCCGATCCACTCCCCCACTCCCTTACCGCCAATTAGAGAACAAGGAGACATTGAGTCACTAACAGAGCCTTAACGTTTAAAAGTCAGCCTTTGATGTTTGTTTCTTGTTTAGTGGGAAAATCCCGGAAAGAATGCATTTTTCACCGAATTTATCCATCACATGATAAAGTAACCCAGAACAAATGCATAAGACTTTCCATTCAACTGCTTGTGACTTCCCTTTCATCTGTCTCAAAAAACTTTCACTGCAAAGGATTTGTAACGGGTTGTCACATGATAAATGAAGTATTTTTCTCTTTAAAATGTTTGCTTACTCATTTGTGAGTCCCAATATTATAAATTATCATTTAAATAACTATGTTTATTATTTAATGGAAACTGTGCATCTTTTTGTAAAGCAAAATGTGTATATATGTTCTTTAAAACATTACCTACACATCTATAGGAATATCTGTATGTGTGCTCACACATAGCAATCCATATCTACCTATGTATTATGTAGATTTGCATATATCTAGATAGATATACCTATATTCGCGTAGAGCATTATAACATATATATGTATGCACATACATACATAACTCACATATATACATATGTATATACATATGGTACAAAGCAATGGTTAAGACCAGGGACTCTGCAACCAGTCTTCTTGATTTAAATTTCAGATCCATAAAATAACTAAGCCAAATTACTTAATCCTTGAGTGCCTCAGATTCCTTATCCTAAAAGAATAATATTTGTATCTGTCTTGTAGGATTTTTATAAGGGCTTTGTGAATGAATGTATGCACAGCTCTGCACAGAGCTTAGAATGACATCCCATGCATGATAAACATGCATGATAAACACTATGTAAACATCTGCCTGTAATTAATGTGTGTGTGTGTGTGTGTGTGTGTGTGTGTAAACAGTGTAGGTGTAAGTAATTACCTTCTCCTGTGTCTGTTCCACACATTTGGAATTTTTTGTATACTGGGTTTTTCTTCGTGGGGGGATATATGTATATACTTAAGGATGGTTGTAAAATTAACTTTGTTCCTACTAACTCTTTTTCTCCTAACTCTACTTCGCCAGGCTAAACAAATCTAACTTTTGACTTTTGCCTCATATGTTTCATATTTCAGACTCCTAAATCTTTTCTTTCGTTTTTTCCTGGATCTTCCTAAGGGTCCACACCTCTAGCGCTGTCAGACCCCAGCGTGTACACCTGTTCTACCCGGGACGTGCTCCTGCAGCTGTGACGCTCTCGCAGGGCTGTGAGTTTTCCGGGGGCTGGCACTAGCTCCAGTCCCCAGGTCTCAGCCCCGATGCCTGGGATCCGGCTCTCTCCAGAACGGGCACTCCTGCAGTGTTGCTCAAGGATTACAGACCTGCGGTTGGCCTCCTGGTTGCACATTCAAATCACCAAGGGAGCTTTTAAGAAATACCACCTCTTAGACTCACCTAAAGCAATTAAATCAGCATCTCTGGAGGGTGTGGCTGTATGTTGTTATTTCTTAAAAGCTCAGGTGTGGCCCTAACCAGTTTTGCTCAGTGGATAGAGCATCGGCCTGTGGACTGAAAGGTCCCAGGTTGGATTCCGGTCAAGGGCATGTACCTTGGTTGTGGGCACATCCCCAGTAGGAGGTGTGCAGGAGGCAGCTGGTCGATGTTTCTCTCTCATTGATGTTTCTAACTCTCTATCCCCCTCCCTTTCTCTCTGTAAAAAATCATTAAAATATATTAAAAAAAAAAAAAGCTCAGGTGTGACTCTTCAATGCAGTCAGGGTGAACAATCAGTGCCATTATAGAAGGGACCTCACCATCCAACGTTGAAGACTATCTCTGATCCAAAGCCCCAGTGCAGACACCCGATCTTTAGGTATACACATAAGAGGAGATGCCAGTATGTGCTTTCTTGTTGAATGTGGACAGCAACATCATTCCAACTCCTTCCCAAAGAAGGTCAGTGGGCAGCCTCTTGAAGCCATGCTCTCTGCCTTATCACCAAATGCCCCCAGAAAAAAAAAGATCTGCACAATGAGGCTAGAAATTGTGCTTTAGAGCCATTGCTCTCTGTTCAGAGCAACTTTTCTTCTGTTGTCACCCATACGATGGACCGTATGCAAGTGCATGACACTGTCCTGCTGTGATACTCAGGCAAGACTCAGTTCCCAGCTGTAATTCTATGTTAGAAAGCATTTTAAAATGTAAGTTAGTGAGAGCTGCATAATTATAGGGACAGTTTGGGTTGTTATTAAACAAAGTTAATAATGTGCAATATTTTAGTTGCTGCTCATTTGTTCAATAAGTATTTATTGAATGTCTACCCTCTCCAGGTACTGGTCTAGGTGCTAGGCATACAATAATTTAAAACAAAAAAGACAAATTTCTTACTATCTGTGGAAATTACACTTTAGGGCAATTACATTTTAGTGAAGAGACAGGCAATAAACAAATAGACAACAAACAAATATGAGTTTCTGTGAAGTGGGGGGATTACTGGTAAATGAAGAAAAGGAAATGGGTGAGAGAGTGTTTTGTTCAGTAGAGTAATCAGGAAGTACCTCCCGAGGAGGTGGTGTTTGAGTAGAAAGAGATCCGAAGGAAGTGAGAGGCAAGTCTGGGTGTTGGGGGAAGAGGAGTCTGAGCAATTGCAAAGGCCCTGGAGAGGGAGCCTGCAGTATGGTTTCAAGAACATCAGGTGGACCCAAGTGGCTGGGATGGGAAAGGAATGTGGACAGTGGTGGGAGATGAAGTCAGAGTGATAGAAGGAGTCGGGGCTTAGGGTCTGCGGATTTCATTGTTCATGCAGGGGAAGCCACTGGAGGGTTTCCAGCTAGGGAGTACTCAGATTTACCCCAGGAACGAGTCGCTGCTCAGGCTTCTGTACCGAGTACATACGGTAGTACATGGATGCAGGTGGAATCAGGAGACCTGGTAGGGGCTATGATAGTAGTCCAAGGGCGCTGGTGCTGGCCTGGTCAGAGCGGGAGCAGAGGAGTGGAGAGAAGGGCAGAGTTATCAGGATTTGCTGACGGGGTGGAAGTGGGATGTGAGAGAAAGACAGGATTGTGGGGATGGGGATGCTATTTACTGAGATGGAGGACAGTGGGAAAAGAGGGTGTTCTGCTCAATGCCTTGGTGATCAGAGGATTCAAGGGAGAGAAGAAATGTCAGCCTTGGATCTTCATATCAGCTCCAATGAACCTTTTCATAATGTTGCCATTGAGTTCCTTTGTTTCAACTCTCAAAAAAACCCATTTGAGAGTGAACTTGGCCACAACAGGAAATATTAGAGCCATTCCACAAGCTCATTAAACATCACCCACCTGGCTGAACAAAGCTAGGAGGTACTTCCTAGAATGAGATATCTTCTAAGCGCTAATCCTCTCAGAGATCCTGGACAACCCATCGCTGCTAATACCACTCCTGGAGATCGCCCCCACGGTGTCTGTGCTCGTGCTGGTCATGGTTTAAAGCACTCCCATTTGCAAAAGAGACTTGCTAGTTCCACTTCTTCTTGGACGGACAATGGCAGCAGAAGGGGCAGTCACTCTCAGGTCTCCTAGCAGCTATAACACTAACAGAAATGTTCATATCCTGGCACATCAGAGTTAGGACAAAGGCAGCATGGAGCTGCGTGTCTTGGCTGTCATCTCCGCCCAGGAGGCTGTGAGCATGGAGATCTAATAAAACACAGGCAGTTCTTGGCCCAGCAGATCACATACACCCCTGATGCAAACAGAGGTGATTTGTTAGGTACCAGGCTTGAAACCTGAGCGTGACTGTGGGAGATGGAAGAATGGAAGGACCTGTGCACCCTTCTCAATCTGCCCTTCCTGGAATCTCCTCCCTGGGCTCTTAGGTTAGACCGCATGCACCAGCTACACCGAGGCCTCTTGCAGTCTCGGCACATGCAGACTTCCTTCCTGCTCTACCTCAACATCCCGTCCTCTCGGAGAGCCCCCAGACCCTATTTCTGGTAAGGTTGGCCAAATGAGTCAACCCTCTGAGCTTCCACAACACTTGGGACTACACTCTTTAAGAGCTGCTCTCTGTGCACAGTCATTCTTGGTTCATTAACAGATGTGTGTGTATAAAGGAATGGTCTCCTATTATTGGGTAACTTTTCTTTTACTGGATATTTGATTCATTATTCCTTCAAGATATTTTTAGATTATTCTGATGACCTAAAGGTTAAGAAAACTTTGGGTGAAGAGATCCTAGGTGTACAGCAGAGAGTCATGAAGGGGTCATGTTTGTGACCCCCAACCCTTCCACCCCATTCCCACCTTTCGGTAACCTATCTCATTAGTTTAAAATAAATAGATACCTATATAGTGTCTTATTTCATTATTTCTCTTACACAAAAGTAGCAGGGTGTAGCAAAAGTGAGGTTACAGTTGTTTATATGGAAAACAATACAATAGCTAACAAATAATGCAAGAATAAATTCTGTGTTTCTGTATTTACAACTGTTGACCTACTTTTGCCATGCCCTGTATGTATATACCATTTGCTTCATTTGCTTTATTCACTTTAACAATATTCTATCACTACATTATTGGTAATAATTCTATTATAAAATGCAAAAACATGAGCTCAAAGAAGTTAAGTAGCTTTTCTAGGCTCACAAAGCCAATAGGTGGAGGAACTAGGAAAATACACTTGCACCCTGATCCTGTTTTTCTTATAATCCTTCTATTTTGTTTGTAATTGGTTTGTAATTCTCAATATTGGAGTTAACAGGCAAAAAGACTGTTGACATTTTTATATACTGAAAATTTTACCGCTTCCCAGTAAGCGATCCTAGCTTTGTTCAGCCAGGTGGGTGATGTTTAATGAGCTTGTGGAATGGCTCTAATATTTCCTGTTGTGGCCAAGTTCACTCTCAAATGGGTTTTTTTGAGAGTTGAAAATACTCTGCAAGATTATTTGCTTCCTTATCATCCCACATGCCTCCTGTTTATTCCTACTTGAGGCTTCTCAGCTAAAATGCATATTGCCTTCCAAATCTTTACAATTTAATGTATTAGAGAGTTGACTTAGCACCAAAATCATGGCAACTGTGTTATTTATACAGTTTTTCCTTCTTTTTTCTTTTAACACTTAGGGGGAAAGTATATTTTGGCTCTATTTGGAGATAGGGACACATGTATAAACACTATATTTTTCTAATATGCACATTCATCTAAACTATCCATCAATCACAGAAGTAGTTTGAAAAGAGGAGAGCGGCTCAGGTAACTCCAGACTTCAGATCTCTCAGACAGCGAGCAGTTAGCTTGCCATGCAGCTCTTTAGCTGAGATCTCACTGCTTAAACCAAAAAGACCTCATATAGCCACATAAAGCCAGAGTAAATGTAATGGTAAGATCAAGGGAAATCTAGATTAGAAAATGCTTTCAAGAAAAAATATCGTCATTGAATTGTAAAATACAATGGATCGTTTATATTCTAAGGTATAAAATGTTATCATCTACATATAGTAATATTTTTTCCTGTGCCTTTCTTATATGTTAATACTTGTATCTTTTGTTCTTTCTCTTGTCTAATTGTATTGGATATTACATATATTTTATATATAATTGCAGTGACAATAAGGAATCTTAAAGTTTTCCTGCCTATAGTATTTTGTTACTCTTATAAGTGAGTTCAGTCTACTGTGTCCTTTCTTCCCTCCTTCCTTCACTCCCTTCTTCCTCCCTCCCTCCCTGCCTGAGGTATTATGCTCTTCCCATTAGTGGCTTGCAGCCAATCACTGGCTGATACAGGCCACCAAAGGAAGAAACACTGTGATACAACTCATGCTCCAGCACTGTCCAGGGGATCAGGCTGAGGCTAGACTTCAGCTGAACTTGCATCTTAGCCCAGGTTCTTTCCCTGTCCTGCCTCATTTCCTTACCCTCAGGGGAATTGAAAGCACTCCCTCAATAATTTGCACAATTCATCTCAGGCTCTGTTTTTAGAGAATCTACACAAAACCTTTTTTTTTTTCTGTTTCTTATCAGCTTGTTAGTTGAATGGCTCTGGGGGAAAAAAATTATAATCAGGGAGAAGATGGAAGGGAGAGAGCAGAGTCAGGGAATAACCTTGTCATGGCATGCCTCCACTCCATACCCCTCTTCTATATGAAAGGAGCACTTTTCCAAGGAGAAAGCCTGAGTAGAGGGAGGATTTGGTAGGGAGAGAACACAAACAGAAGGCTGGCCTCCTTCAAGAACCTTGAAGCTTTTAGCCTATCTTAGAAGTTGAATAGAAAATTAAAGTTGAAAGTGCAATCACTTGGGTTCTTAAGGTCTTGAAATTCACCTCTGTACGAATAAAAATAAAAAATAAAATGCTGGAAGAGACTGAATTTGTAATCAGTTTGCTCATGGTGCTCTTTGGCTTTAGTTCCTGACATTTACAAAAGATCTAAATCGACCTGGGAGACCATCCCTGAATTCCACATAAGCCAAAGCCCTCCGGCATTGGGGCACCTGAGACTTGCCCCAAGGATTACCTGGAACTGGAGCTGTGCTTCCTAAGGGACATCCTAGCTGCCTAGGCAGGCAGCACAGAGAGCGGAGTCCAT